GTGGTGTTACATGTGAAAGTGTGATGGTATAAAAGTTGAGTGAGTGTGATAGTGTGAGAATAATGCACGAGTTTACAGAAGAGAGTGTGTGTGTGTGTGTGTGTGGACTAAATAAAATAAAGTGTGAGCAGAAATATATGGGTGGGATTATGTGTAGGAGATGAGTGTGTGGGGGGCAGGAGATAAATCTGTGTGCAATGCTGGGTGCGTGTCAAACTGAGTATGGTGGATGGAAATTGGGGGAAGAATAATTCTGTGAAATGGGATATAGTGAGAATTGGAATATAGTTCCTTTTGAACATTGGATCTAAGGGATATAGGTGTTAAGAGTGCGTGAGCTGGGGAAGCTTAGAAGAATGTGATTTTTTCTTTATTATGCGGTCAGCTGCTGTTTACCAGCATGACAATATAATCTGTTTACTTGTTTAAGCGACTGAACCAGCTGCCTGTCACATATCCGAGTATGCCAGACGCCATCCCGAATGCTTTCCCAACCAATTAATTAGCTCAACGAGTTCTAATGCTAACTCGATCTGCTTCGTAGGTTTAGCTGACTAATCCTATTACTAGTCAGCCTATCATCACGTCATGTTCATCCAGGTAGCGGTCGACCACAGACACGATTTTTTTTAACAAACGACGTAACCAAAAATGACATTTCACTAATTTTAAAACAATATTATTGAATATCTCAATTTTGTGTGTAGAAATGCCTCGCATAAGTTAAGTACCACTAGCAATTATTTGTATTCTAACTCATTTAGAAGCCGAAACTAAGTCAAATTCGATATTATATTAATTTCAATAACGAGCATTTCCCGTTTGTAAATAAAGACGTGCTGTGATAATAGAATAAAAATACTTTACACACGACTAAAACTGATTATATTCACGTATGAATGTGTAAATATTTAAGTATTTACATATACCTATATGATTAAATATGTCTGCATTGCTGGTGTTGTTGATCTTATTGTGTAACTTTTCTTCTAACCGTTATTTGATCTTATTGTTGACCAATAAGATCGACAACGCCCGCAACACAGTTATATTTAGAAAATTTTTGCTTTGATTAACTCCAGTTTCCCTTGTACACAATTTTCTATCTATAGATGTATAACCTCGTCTCTCAACTATGGCACATTGGACTATTTAATTATAAATCTCCTCTTGAGCTGACCATTCCTAATACTATGATGCTGCTAACAATGTCTAATTCTCTGAATTCATCAGTTATATGTAATTATGTCATTTCTGGCGCTGCTGCATACTTTTCTGGAGGTTAATTTTCTTTCATAACTGATGGCTCTCAGCTCTGGGACAAGTCTGGTAGCATCCCTTTGAAATAACTGTATAGTGAACTCTCCAGCAGAAACCAGTGTTTGGCAAATACTTCGCAGCCCAATTACATGGGTTGAACTTCAACAATTTGTTCCTGCTCTCAGTTAATTGGTGTACAGGTTCCTAGGTGTATTGTAATCTATCATATCAACGTTTGAAACTATGATGCTTGCCTCAGTCAGATCACTGTTTAGTACACTCTATTTGTTCACTACACTGACACTGAACAGGTGTTTTCTATCCCAGAGTTCGTGTACCATCTGTATTAAATAGTCTGTATATGTTTGCTTCTCTCTGCTCAATTTCATAGAGAATTGTGTATACTGTATGGTAATTATGTATCCTCTAACTCCTCTTAATTCCATGGAAGCGAGGAATTATTCCACAAATTTTTTAGTGTGTGTGTGTGTGTGTGTGTGTGTGTGTGTGTGTGTGTGTGTGTGTGTGTGTGTGTGTGTGTGTGTGTGTGTGTGTGTGTGTGAGTGTGTGTGTTATTATGTCAGTGTGTGTGTTTGTGCGTTTGCATACAATCTGATCTCTTCCCTCAATTTGTATACAATTCTTAGAACCCCTTATCTCCTCCTATCAACACTCCACTCAATCATGAATCATCCCATTCATTTTTCTAGCTGCCTCATCATCTATTCATTAATCTATTTAATTCATCCTTACATTTATCCCATAATTCGTTCATTCAGTCAGGCCACCAACACTTTTATGAATCCAGAGTTAGTTCTTCTATCATTGCGTTTATCCATCCATTAACTCCATCCATCTATCCATTTACTACTTTCAGAGGCCATCAGTCTCTCTCGACTATTTTTTTTTTTACTTGATTGATCATCAACTCTTGTCTGGCTCCTCAGGTAATTACCTCGTTTTTAACTGTTCAGTTCTTCGCGCACCTTGTCTGCCTTTATTAATTACTCTATCGGTTTTTGTATATTAGTTTTTTAATAAAAATCTTTGTTATTTCACAATTTTGGTAATGTTTATTATTACTATTTTGATTTTGATTATTACTGATTTCCTTGAAGTATATTTATTTTGTGCGTCAAGAAATTTTAGGTATTGGTTACCACTATTAGTGGACAAATCCATAGCAATCACCACTATCACCCCCGCTGCCACGACCTCCAACAGTACCTACACTACTACTAACACTAGAGGCTTCACTACCACAACTACTGTTAGCTTCACTATCCACCACTATTAGCACCACTGCTGCCCCCACCAGTAACAAGTACATTGCCACCATCACCACCTTCAATGACTAAAACGTGTATTACCACCACATTCCTTATCCTCACCACATCATTAACAATGACCACCGAAGCAACCAGGGCTTTACAGTCGACGTAACCATACTCCAATCTACAGTAATGGTGTTCACGCTCTTACGACCCACTGACATCACTATGAAATCAAAATTTCGTGATGTATCAATGAAAATATTTATGAGGAAATGAAGTGACTTGAACCAGTGTTCTGGAGATTCCCTGACAACTGCCTTAACCGACTCCGTCAAGAGAGGTTAAAAAGGTAGATATCAGGGATTCATCAGAAAGCTGCTGATTCAAAGTCACTCTACTGCATCAGAACTATTTTCGTTGATATATCACGCCATTGTGATATATATATATATATATATATATATATATATATATATATATATATATATATATATATATATATATATATATATATATATATATATATATATATATATATATATATATATATATCATGCGGGTAAAAGATCATTCACTGACACGCGCTATCTGGAGTCTTTTCTCACACCATCTTTGTTTCTTTGTCTCTCCCACAGTTGATGTGTGGCTACTGGGGCCTGGGACCCATCGTCTGTGACCTCTATATCGCCATGGATGTCGTCTGTTCCACGTCCTCCATCTTCAACCTCGTCGCCATCAGTATAGACAGGTCAGTTGAGGTCAATATCGCTTCAGTCGACCTAATGCACATGTTTGCGAATTATTTGTTAATATGAATATGTTTACTGATTTAATGGCCGGTTCAATCGTGGATTATTTGATTGGCTGACGTGCCGCACTGCATATTCTCCGAACCATAATACAGGGTATCATAAGAGAGAGAGAGAGAGAGAGAGAGAGAGAGAGAGAGAGAGAGAGAGAGAGAGAGAGAGAGAGAGAGACAGAGAGAGAGAGAGAGAGAGAGCAGAGGAGAACCGAAAGTGAAATAGACTATCTACCCCTATACACACACACACACACACACACACACACACACACACACACACACACACACACAATAATCAAGACGACCAATAGAGTGGCGAAAAACGGAGAAAAAGAGAATACAACTGAGAAAAACAATTTAAATATTTGTTGGATTCCACACGGCCTAATAAACTAAACGACAAATCCAAAGAATAAAATAATAAAAATAAACCAAAATAAAAGCAAAAACATGACCAAATTTTAAAATAATAAACCAAATGATAAAGCAGAAAATATACCAAGGGATAAACCAATGAACAAACCAGGTTATATTCAGGAGAATAATATTGCTAAGAGTAAACCAGAAGCTAAAAAATATTAGACCCAAAATATAAACCTGGTGATATACCAAAATGTAAACCAAACGATTCACCATAGGATAAAAGAAGCAATTACTAGTCAAAGGAGAAATTATAAAAGAGCCAGATGAGTAGAGGGGAAATGAGACATATTTGTGTTGTTCCCTTGGTGAAGGGAAGCTGTGATTCTGAAGGGAAGGGGAGGCTCGCGGAGGGAGGGGTCGACAGGGAGGAAAATGCAACGGATGGAATGGAAGTTGGAATGGTTGAAAAGGGTAAGTAGGGTGGGAAAGAGGCTTTCATTTGGTGGAAATGTTGCCAAGAGTTTATAGTAGTTTGTTATTGGACGAGGGGTGGTTGGGGGGGGGGGTTGAAACCTTGGGATGATGTAGTTTTCAAACAAAAGGAGTAAGGAGGATAAATAAGACACATCACTGTTATTGGGTACAGTCTATACCACGCTGTCTTCTGCTGGTGACGTCTCTGTTGCTTCGGGGGGATTTACCACACTATCTATGCCGCATGGTCCAAACAGCATCATTTGATTCTTTGTCCTTTTCCTTGCCCTTTACTCAAAAGTCGAATCGTGATTATAGACTCCGTTTTGTTTTCCAATACTCTGCAAATGTGGTCCTAGAACAAAGACTTGGCCCCGAGGTCCAGCATATGTGGGGTATGGAGACACAGACTTGGCTCCAAGTCCTGGCATATGGGACGGGAGTTAAGCCAAAGGCATGGTCCTCATTCCACACCATTTAAGGGTGCTAAGTGCCGGTAGATTTAAATTCAAATTAATTAAAGATTTTTTTAAACTTCTTACTCGGTGATGACTCTTTGTATTGAAGTCAGATGCAATTATGCAATAATTAAAACACTCTTAATTAACTCCATTAATATAGGAACCTTTTTTGCATTCAGTTTCTTTACATTTAATTACAGTGTAAATTAAATAAGCATGAACTTATATTCAAATATGATTTAAAATCTGTGGGTTTATTTACATTTTATCGTATGCAATAATAATAATCCTCACTTAGTAATGTTCCTGTTATGATTTTCTTATTACCATTAAACGTAATTTTCGGATGAACTAACGTCGTTTATCTAGGTGCATTAAACATTTTCTGTACAAAAATGATATAAGTGCTTGCGTTTATATATCTGTCAGAGCGCCTTAGGCAGCGCCCGGCGTAGTGTAAACGTCGTCATGTTTACGAAGGGACCCTTCAAGGGATGCCAAAACTTTAGATGAATGATCAAATGTCCTGGATTCTGGGAACTGTGGACAGGGTTTCGTGGGAACTATACTCCTAACCTGAGCATTCCAAGGTCTGTGTTTATAGAAATTAATGAAATGAGTTACTTTTAGCTTCGTTTTGGAATACCTTTGCTGTTAATCGGATTGGTTGGTTTGTTGCTCTTTACTATCTCTCTGTATAATCCATAATTACCTCTTCCCCTTTCTAGTAGGCATTAGTATTCGATATTTCAGCTATTATATACAATTCTACCACAATTAACATTCATCCATTGATTGAAATCCCAACAATAGTTAGCCATGGCATTATTTCTATCAAATTTTGTTACTATTTTCTTATGTTCATCAACACTTTTCAATAACCCACAACCATTATCCCCAACATATCATGCATTTGCATGATATGTATATATATATATATATATATATATATATATATATATATATATATATATATATATATATATATATATATATATATATATATATATACATATATATATGTCGTACCTAGTAGCCAGAACGCACTTCTGAGCCTACTATGCAAGGCCCGATTTGCCTAATAAGCCATGTTTTCATGAATTAATTGTTTTTCGGCTACCTAACCTACCTAACCTAACCTAACCTAACTTTTTCGGCTACCTAACCTAACCTAACCTTTAAAGATAGGTTAGGTTAGGTTAGGTAGGGTTGGTTAGGTTCGGTCATATATCTACGTTAATTTTAACTCCAATAAAAAAAAATTGACCTCATACATAATGAAATGGGTAGCTTTATCATTTCATAAGAAAAAATTTAGAGAAAATATATTAATTCAGGAAAACTTGGCTTATTAGGCAAATCGGGCCTTGCATAGTAGGCTGAGAAGTGCGTTCTGGCTGCTAGGTACGACATATATATATATATATATATATATATATATATATATATATATATATATATATATATATATATATATATATATATCAACCCATGTATATCTTGTAACCATCAAATGCATAATAAAGCACAAAAAATAAAAAAGGAATGGGGTGGTAGGAGAAAAGCACACAGAAACTGTATTGGAGGGGATCTAAACATTCCCTCTAATACGTTATGCGTGGTTTCCTCCGAGGCTATGGGTCTCCCTTCTTCCAGCTAGAGGTGGTACTCCCTTCTATATTTAATATATATATATATATATATATATATATATATATATATAACTCACCGTTTTGGTGAGTTATAAAAATAATAATAACGGCAAGGGGGAGGGGGGGGTTGTTAGTGCAGGTAATAATGGAAAGAAAGGGGTTAGAGGGGGGTCAATGGTAATGCTGATAATGATAATAATAAGAACATTGTAAGTAATGGCGGTAATAAGATAAATTGTAACGATTGCAACTTTTCCTCTCTACACTCTTACTTTCTATCTCCCTCATTGTCTCCACTACCATCTTCCTTCCTTTCTCTCTATCTTCTATCCCATACCTTGCCTAGCTTGTCCCTTCTCAAAATTCCTCGTCTCCTATCCTTCTCAAGCTATTTATTCTTTTCCTTCTCCCTCTATTCCTTTTACTCCCTCCCTCCCTCCCTCCGCCGTTTCACCAGGAAGGGCGCTTCTCACTTCCGCCACCAAAATTGCCTCCTGAAGCAGTTTGTCTTCATTGTAGTAGCCAGATGTAGCTACATTGTAGCTACAGCCAGCGGTGTGTCCTCCGGTCTTTGATTTTCTTATTCTGTCTTACTTTGTGTTAATTCTACGCTCACCAGAAGACTCACACACAGACACACACACACACATATCCGCACGTGCGCATAAACACACATGCACTCTCTCTCTCTCTCTCTATATATATATATATATATATATATATATATATATATATATATATATATATATATATATATATATATATATATATATATATATACATATATGTCGTACCTAGTAGCCAGAACGCACTTCTCAGCCTACTATGCAAGGCCCGATTTGCCTAATAAGCCAAGTTTTCTTGGCTTATTAGGCTTATTATTTTTTTCCAAGATTGGACTAAAAATTTATAAGAGGAAAATCAACACAGGGCATGAAGAATATAATGACCAAACCAAATGAATCTAAAGAGAGATTTATACCGCTACTATTGGATAAGAAATTAAGGAGAGCCTTAACCATCAAGACGTGCCTGGATGCAACGAGAAATTATAATCAAAATACTCAAATGAAATACAGATAACACAGAACAGAAGGCAATCACGAAGCATACACTGGGGGTAGAAATGAGGCCACGGAAAGTAGGAGAGTATAGGGAAGTACCCCGTCTAGGAGAGAGCATATAAGGCAATGGTATGGTATGGTTCTGACGAATTTAGTACATTAGTTTAGGGAAGTACCCCGTCTAGGAGAGAGCATATGAGGCAATGGTATGGTATGGTTCTGACGAATTTAGTACATTAGTTTAGGGAAGTACCCCGTCTAGGAGAGAGCATATAAGGCAATGGTATGGTATGGTTCTGACGAATTTAGTACATTAGTTTAGGGAAGTACCCCGTCTAGGAGAGAGCATATAAGGCAATGGTATGGTATGGTTCTGACGAATTTAATACATTAGTTTAGGGAAGTACCCCGTCTAGGAGAGAGCATATGAGGCAATGGTATGGTATGGTTCTGACGAATTTAATACATTAGTTTAGTGACGCTGTGAACGCTCGAGAGGACGAGAGGCTGCTGAAGCTGGGGCTCAAAACTAAGATCGTCCATGTAAGAGAATCCAGCTGAGTATGTCTAGGTTAATACACACTAAGGCTGACGTTAAACAATGTAAGCAAAGTTACTGACCCCCTGTCACTCGAGTAAGCACAGTTATTGACCCCTGTACCTCGAGCAGGCACAGTTACTGACCCCTGTAACTCGAGTAGGCACAGTTACTGACCCCTGTAACTCGAGTAGGCACAGTTACTGACCCCTGTCACTCGTATAAGCACAGTTACTGACCCCTGTCTCTCGTGTAAGTAGAGTTATTGACCCCTGTCACTCGTGTAAGCACAGTTACTGACCCCTGTCACTCGTGTAAGCACAGTTACTGACCCCGGTCAATCGTATAAGCACAGTTACTGACCCCTGTCACTCGTGTAAGTAGTTATTGA